GGGCACCCCTATCTACACCTTCCTCACTCTGGGCAAGGCAAACAGGGACCCCACAATCCCTGTGCCTTGGGAAAGCCTCTGCTCAGGCTCTGAGGCCCGGTGGGCTGGCTGCTGTGGCCCCAGAGGCTTAGATTAGGGCTGAACCCACATGGCTGAGGGTTATGAATTATGAGTTACATAACTACAAATTATGAATTATCCCAATTCCTGAGCACCTGTGATTCTGGCCCCTGGGGGAGCCGCTCTGCAGTACAGGCTACCCCCTCCAGGGGGGCACATCCACTAGCAGCTGCTCTTGTGCTCTCTGGGCCCAATTCCGTTAGACTGAGCGCAAGCCAGTCCTGCCTTGCACAGCCGCGGCGGCCTGGCCAGAGCTTGCAGACAGAGTGAGGGGCCAGGTATGGCCAGCACAGACCTCCACCCCAAGCCCAGTCCTGAGAGAGTCTCCAGGCAGGGCCAGCACTGTGCCAGCTTCCTCTCTCTAACACCACTGTCCTTATTAAGTGCCTGCCCGGGAAGGGACAAAACATTCAATGAGGACATGCCTCTGTGCTGTGGCTCAAACCTATCCTCCCACAGGCACAGTACTTAGTCCTCAGGACTGCGGGGCTGGAGACGAGTGCAGGTCTTACCTGTCACACAGGGTGCAGTGAGCTGCCTCACTGAGGTGGGCTGGGGCCCACAGCAGAGGGGGGAGCAGAGCCTGCTGTCTGTCTTCTCCAGCTACCACCGGAGCATGTCCTGACCACATGCACCTGCAAAGCCCTCATTCAGGAGCCCGCTGGGGGATGAGACCTAGGCTCCCACCCTTGTGCCGCATTTACCATCAGGTGACCTCTGCCAGGCAATCTGGCTTTCCTGGACCTCTGCTTCCCAGGTTCAGGGACCACCAGTGTCTTAGGAGGAGCTCCATGCCAAAGCCTGTGTGGCGTTCCTGGTGCACAGGCTGCCTGAGGCTTCTGCACCTGTGGGGAGGAGCGTGGCGGCTCCACCTGGGACAGGTGTGTGTCAGACACAGAGGACAGCAGGCAAGGGGTTGGCCTGGTAAAGCGCAGCAGCGATGCTTCTGGAGCTGAGGGTTGGCTCTGGCTGACCCTGCCCTGTGTCTGGTGGGAGCCCGCTTTCTGCCCACACCGCAGAGCCTCTGCCAGGCGTCCCTGCTCTCCAGCACCTTTGATCACACTCTATGCTCCGGAATCAGCCGACTTCTGGCCTCATTGACCAGGGAAGAGATGTTTGAAAGGTTTTAAAACACAGTACAGTGGTGCATGTCTATAATCCCAGCACTCAGGTGGCTGAGGCAGGAGGCTTGCTGGGAGCTTGAGGCCAGCTTAAGCTACATAATGAGTTCATGGCCAGCCTGCACTACATAGTGAGACCCTGTCTCAAAAAAAGAAAGAAAGAAAGAGGAAAAGTTTTTAAAAGTAAAACCACAATTCATTCACATATAAAGGGAACACGTGTCAAGACTTTTATTTAACCATGAACCCATTAATGAATGAGGGAGCCAGCAAGAGATGAAGACTAGTGTGTAATTTAAAACACAAAGAAGAGCTCCCACTTTCCAGTGGATTCCCTGGAAAACACCATTGATTGTTCGAGGGGTCGCTGAGCCAGCTCCAGTCAGTCTGCTGCAGAAGTCAGGAGAGGAAGGGCGTGGTCCGTGTCATTTTATGAAGCAGGCAGGATTCTGATGCCAGACCAGCCAGAAAGAGCTCTCAGGAGAAGGGTGGCAAGGGGCTGGCATTATCACAGCAAACTGGAAAGCAAGGATGAGGTGGGAGGGGAAGTCTGTCCCCCAAGTCAAGGCTGATTAATAAGCTCCAGTGGCTGGGGACCCTGGTCCTGGAGGAGGAACAGACACACAGAATAGGACAGAAACTCAGTGTCACACAATGGCCCCAGCCAGCCCTGCTGCTCTGAAAGGGTAACTGCTGTGTGCTCAGGACCCCCAAGTCCACTGGAGCCCTACAGTGTACAGCCCTGGGGTCCCACCCTTGGCCTTGTGCCCTGGGGGAAAAGGAGGGAGTGGGGTGGTGCAGCTGTGGGAGCTCCTGACTAGGGGTTGCAGATGGCATTCCCTCCATTGTCTGGTCACCACCTGGATGCATAATCCAGCTTTGACTATTCTTTTGCCCAATCCTTCCATCTGCCTGCTCATTGAGTCAGTCATTCAACAAACTTTGAGAATTACGAAGTGCCAAAGGATTAAGGCAAAAGTCATTTTATTCCAAGGTTCTTAAATCTCCCGAGAAAATGACAAAGGAGAAAGAGCCTATGGCTCCTGGGAAAGGAGGTCAAAGCAGGGTCATTCTCTGCTACAGGGGCTGGGAACTTGTGAATCTGAGAGGGCAGGGAGGGGTCCTCACACTCCAGAAGAGACAACCTGGGTCCATGCCGGGCACAGCAGAGGACCAAGCAGCCTCCTGCTCCATTCCCTTTAGCCCCCACTTGCCCTTCATGGCCAATGGCACAGGAAGAAGCAGACCCAGAAAGGGGAGGGATTGCCGTGTCCTGCAGCCCAGGGATGCAGACCTGGGGTCTAGAGCTCCTTGGCCTCTTGGCCTGTCTCCACAGCTTCCTTTCTCTGGGGCCAGGCTGCCCTGGTCTGCATGCTCTGTCTGTCCCTTAGGAATCTAGTCCTGTGCTGGACAGGGCCTTGGAGGCCATCCCTGTCCTGCTCTCTTCTCAGCCTCACAAGCACAGCCTCTCCCCTGAGCTCTGGTGCACGCTTCTCTCTCCTTTGAGAGAGAACCATCTCCAATGCCCCTCCCCTGCAAGGCCTGCTGCAATGCTCCCAGCAGATAGGCCACCCGCTCCGGTCATGTGTCCTTCAGAAAGGCTGTCTGTTTGCCAGTCTGTGTTCCCTCTAATCTTCTGGCCCCTGGGATGATGACTGCCTCGTTACCTCGCTCATTCTGGGTGCCCAATTATTCTGTGCAGAGTAAATGAATGAGTCAGCTGGCGGCGGCCTGGTGGGGAGCCAGGGCCACAGGTGACGTGGAGGCAGAGGCAATCCTAACCCTGCTGGCCTAGGATCTGCCTGTGTATCCTGGCTCTTGCTGTCACCCCATCCTGCTCCCTTGACCTTGGCCCACATGAGGGGCTAGAGGGGCGTTTGTCTCAAATGCAGATTAGGCAAACATAGGGGCAGCATGAGGATTGGGTGAAGCAAGCCCCTTTCTGGGGTTTCTGTGTGAAGGAAGCATGCGGGGGGAGTCCCAGGCTCCCTAGGATCTGCCCAGCCCAGGACACAGGCCAGGGCTCTTCTGCTCAACCAAGAGATGCTGTCAGGGGAAGAGGGCCCCTGGGAAAGTAGAATGCAGACTCTCTCCCATGCGGAACTCTGAGCCCCAAGGCAAATGTGTTTTCTGATAAAGAGTTCAGAAACCACCCTAAGAAGCAGTATCTCTGACCCAGTACAACTGTGCTTCATGGTAATACAAGCATGTGGGCACGGGACGAGTTGGAGCCCTGTCCCTGTTTCATAGGGGCATGAAGGCATAGCTGTGTCCAGACCCCTGTTCTCTTCAGAGCCAGCCCATCTCTCTGAGACAGCATGGCAGGGAGTGACCCAGCCCGAGCCTTCCTGTGGGCTCCCTCAGGGGTCCATCCCTCCACACAGCTGTTCACTCTTCTAGGCTCCCTCTACACACCCTCTGATGCCAACTTGGGCAGGAGGGCTCTGGCATTCACTGCAGGAAGATCTCTGCCCGGAGAGTGGCAGCTCCTGCATTTTCTCACCTCAAGGCTCAGAGAAGTCACCATCCATTGGAATTCCTTCCCCAGCCCAAGGCCACTTTCCAGCTGCCCACGGGAAGGCTCCTCCAGTGCTCTTTGGGGGAAAAAAAATCTTAGAAGTAAGCAAATGAAGATCCAGTGGTGGGTAGGCTCATCTGATCTTAAACAAAACTTTCAGACATGAGCCGTGTCCTGGAGATGGCCTCGTCTGTGCTGGGGTCAGTCCTGGGGTCCCATGGTGGCATTGTCTAGGGTACTCAGGGGCTGTGTGCTCTCCAGGTGGCTGGCCTCTTGCCAACCACAGCCGGTGCCCAGTCTGTCACCTAAGTGTCTCCAGTAAGGGTGTTTACAGAATGGAAATCTTCAGATAGGAGGGTGGCAGTCGGCTCAGCCATGCCACCTCCAGATGTCACCCTGGTTAGTCCAATAACAGAATTGGCCAAGACGTCAGGAGTCCTGCAGGACATTGCCTGGGGCCTGAGGGCATCTGGACAGCTATATTCTTTGCCTCCCCAGACATCAGACAGTCTTAGAACTTGGTCTGGGCAGCCCAGCCAGTAGTGTTGCCAGATAGTACGGTGTCCAGTAGTTCCCGACTCTTGTTCTGTTCAGATAACTGATGAACATAACAGTTTAGCTTTTATTGAAGAAAAGGAGAAGAAAAGAAGAAGAAAGAGAGAAGAGAAGATACATCCTGCATGCAGGACGGGCCACTGCAGGAATAAGAAGGCAGTAGCGGCAACGTCAATGGCTGCTATCTTTTTTATATTTTCTTTTGAAGTCAGATCCAGGCTGTCCCTTGCAGGGCTTCAAAGCTGCTCCGCACATGCATCTTGGTGGTGATTTGACAGCTCTTCATGATTGACAGGTCACACCTGCTTGTCCAGCTGTAATTTGCCATGTCCTGATCTGCCTCAGCAACAGAGCTGGGGGCTCAGGGACATATGAGGACATACCTGGTGATCCAGCGAGCCCAAACCTATAGAACGAGTGCAGATGGCTAGGCTCCTGGTAGCTGAGGCTCCTCCAGGGATGTGTCCTCCTCTTGTGGCTGTTGGTGAGAATGGGAAAGGTCTTAGAAGGGGAGCCCTGGTCACTGGGTCTTGCTGGTTGCCCTTCTCAGCTGATAGGACCTGGCTGACTTTCAAACCTGCGGTAGGCACTGTTGTCACTAGAGCATTCTGCCTTGGGAGCACGTTTGCCAGGAAATGCCCTCAACTGCCTGCAGCATCGTCAGTTGAGGACAGAATTCTCAGGGCTGAACTTCCTTCAACTTTCAGGCAGTGGCTGTTGGGACCAGATTCCTCATGACTCCCCGGGGCCTCTGAACAGCCTTCTCGGCACACAGTTCCATCGAGTCCTGGAGAGAGGGACTAACAGGCTTGAAAGAGGTTTCTCTTAGGCAAAGTATTTGTCCTCACCCCACCCTACTCCCCCACCCAAGGCAGATGTTGAGCTGGCCTTGGGGAGGCTAAGCAGCTTGGTCTTGAGACTGATCCAGTTTGAAGTCCCTCAGAGCACCCAGGTTTGTTCCCTGAGCACCAAAGCCCGCTGTGGGGGTCGGCAGTCCTCTCAAAATGCTTCTCCAGGGCAGGTGGTGGTGAAGAGGCTTTTGGGGACATACAGACACACTGGGCCCTGAGAAGGATCCTTTTCGCCTCTTCCTTCTTTGTCCCTCCCCAGCTGCTGTCACTTGTTAGGGAGATTTCCATGGTGGATTCAAGTTCTTCCCTGCCTGCCTCATCTTACTTTCTTCCGTGTCTCACTCACAGTCAGAGGGCTCTCCAGACATGCAGGTGACCTTCAGAGAAGCCCAACAAATTGCTGCTCAGGGGTTGTGGGGTGGACAGGGCAGTCACTCCTGGGTGGGTCCAGTCAGCCTCCTGGACACTGATTCCTGGACATAGGAGCAGAGGCCGAGTGACTATACTGAGACATAGGAACATCTTAGGACATACCTGGGGATCCAACGAGCCCCCTGGGGACAGCCACCTTGAGCCCCTTGCAGATTTTGGGGTCCTGGGAGGCACCTCTCTATCTTGCCTAGGCCCAGACTGCTTTAAATCCTCCTTGGATGTTGGCCTAGTCACAGGAAATGGAACCAGAGACCAAAGTCCTCAGCAAGTCTACCCTCAGGCTGAACCTGGACTCAGGTGGCCCCTCTTGACCAGGCAGCAAGTGCCCTAGAAGGCCTGAACCCTCCCTGTCTTCTCCTCAGGCTCCTCAAAGCCACTAGACTCGAGACCTAGGGCTTGGGCAGAGCTCCAGGCCAAGCAAGCTCCCTGCTGGGCTGCTACCCCACCCCAGAGCCAAGGCTGTGTGTGATGGCCTCTTTTTCAGGCCTTTTAAAAAAACTTCATCTCATTTTTGGTTTTAAGTAAGCAATTTTTTTTTTTCCCTCAATAAGAGCAACTCAGGCCCACTGCAGACACGTTGGCAAATTTCAAAAAGGATTCAGAAAGCAAAATTGCCTGGAATCCCAAGGCCCAGAGATAACTGCATTTTAAATTAGAATTGAGTGGCTTTTCTCTCCCTTTGGATCCAAGCAACCTCCACGTCATCAAATAGTCTTGAGAAAGCGAGTCTCTAAGCTGCCCATTCTTCTCTCTTTTTGAGCATGTGTGGCTATTTTAAACCTGGGAAGAATCCTGGAGTAGTGAATATTTAGTCATTTCTAATTTTTTCGGGAGATTGAATTCCTGGGTGTGGGATTCCCAGCCAAGCAGGCGTGGCCCTGGGTGGGAATCTGTGAGGGCCTCCGTGTCTGGCCTTCTTGGGACTCTCTCTTGTCCTTTACAATCTTTCAAGCAATCTTTACACATGGTAACAAGTCTTGTTTGTCTCTTTGCCTAGCCTGGAGGAGGTCATTTCTGAGCCTTTGAGCCCATAGGAGCCGTTGTCATCCCCCTGAGCAGCAAGTCCGGAAGGCAGCTACCTGCACACGCAGGCCAGCTGGGCCATCCCGCAGCACAGACTACAGCCGCCCAGGGACAGGGTAAAAAGGAGCAGTGCTGGGACTGGGGAGGGGTTAGAGGGCAGGGCCAAGGGCTGAGAGAGCTAAAAGGAGAGAGGGATGGGGGACCATGCAGGGCAGTGGGAAGGATGGGCCCATGCCTTTCTCCCCAGAACTGAAAAAAAAGGGTGTGGCCTCCCTGGGGGAGGGGAGGGGCTATGGCTAGCTGTATGGGGATGGCAGCGGGACCTGCCAGGATAGACTGTGGGGCTGGGGTGGCCTTTCTCCAACAGAGCAGTAGGGAATCAGAAGGGCCTAACAGGCCTACTCTCTGGGTTACCCTAGGAGGTGTGGCCGGGCAGGACCTGGCTGACCTGAGATAGAGATGTAGGACATTGTGGATGGAAGGGCGCAGGGCAGGGGTGGATGACATGAGGACCAGAAGCATGTGCCAAGCAACAAGTGACCTGGGGCAGGAGGGCCATGGTGAGGGGTAGCTAGGACCTCCTTCTCATCTTCCTGCCTGGAAGCTTCCCAGACCACATCTGCCTTCTCGGGCCAAATTATTCTTTAGACTTGGTTGCCTCAGCTAACCCCAGCCCTATCGTCCTTGGCTTGCTATCTGATTCTGACATGGCGTTCCCTGGGTCTCAGATCACTTCCTCCAGGAAGCCCTCCAAGCTTGGAGTGCAGCAAACTGAGAGTGGCTTTTGCCACCTCCATAAAGAGGGAGACTTTATGAAAGGGGTCCATCAGACCAGTTTATGAAAGGGTCCATCCTCCTGAGAAAACTCTCTCCTCTAAGTACATAGACCTGGTTCTGTAGCTGTGATGAGCAGGGCCTGGGTTTGGGTGTACAGCAGGGGAGGGGAGTTCAGGAAAAGCCATGGGACAGAGTGTGAAAATGAACTCATGTCCCGGGGCACAGGCCCGGGCAGGGGGATGGTATCCCCTAGGGTTGTGAGGAGTTCAGACTCCCTCCAGCTCCCCCATCCCCACCCAGTTGACAACTATGTCTGAGTGTGGGTGGAGAAGGCAGTCAGGGGTTCAGAGTCAATGGGGGAAATGGTGCTGAGCTAAGTTGTGTTGAATGCCAAGTGGATGGGCAGTCAGGGCGAGGGCAGCAGAGATGCTCGGAACCTGCACAGCCCTGGGAGTTCACCCAGGTCACTGAGCAGGTAATTGGCCATCCACTGGGTCCAGAGGCTTCTGGCCATCAGTGCTGCCCACAGGCTCTGGCTAGGAGATGCCTGGGAGCTGTGTGCCTCTGAGGATGGCAGTGCCCGGGCTTGAAAGCTAGTAGACAGCAGCCCCTTTTTAATTGCTCTCAGGCCCCACAGGTACCTCCCATTCCTGCCCTGCACCCTCTACTGACGGGTTGGGGCTGGTCAGGCCTGGGGTGCCTGGGGTTGGGAGCTGATGAAGCTTGGGATGACTGAGGTGAGGGCTGTTCGGTTTTGGAGTGATGGAGGTAAGGGCTGGTTGGGCTTGGGGTGACTGCAGTATGAGCAGGTCAGCCTTGTGGTGATCAGGTTTAGGGTGACTCTGCACAGCCTGACTGGTGAGGGTGAGAGACACAGCCATCTGCCCCTGCCAGGTGCTGTCACTCTGAGACTGTAGGCTCCATACCGGCCCCGCGGTGGTAATTTCCACAGGCCCCTCAGAATGTCCAGAAACGTATGGCCTCAGGAGGAGCAGGAGCTGGAGCTTGGTGAGCACACCCAGTGGGCAGATCATGCGCTGCAGGGTGAAGGGGGGCAATCCTCACTGTACAGGAGAGCGTGGTCTATTCTGTCTCTGATCGTCCAGTATAGGGAATGGGATGGAACACCTTCGGAAGGCCTGTGACCTTGTGCGCAGGGGCAAGGTTTGCTGCCAGCCTCAGTGCCCCTGCCGTCTCACTCCCCTTCAGTGCCTTGGTCCAGGGCAAAGGGACCCACAGCCAGGGGTGTACCCCAGGAGCCCTAGGAACTCTCAGGCAGGTTGGGCACCTCCTACCACCCAGCTGAGCAAGGACTTCATAGCCACCCCTCTGCTGCCTGTCCTTATTCTCAGGGCCTTGGGGTCACAGGGGGGGCAAGTATAACACCTGTGCTGACGAGTGGCCCCAATGTCTGACTGGTAGATGATGGGTGGATTGTTTTCAGATAAGCAAGTCATATAGCAGTGAAAGAGCAGCTCCCAGCATACTCAGGAACTGCTTCCTCTCTGTCCCCTCAGCTACGTGCATCCAGGCCAGGTCTCTAAGGCACTGGGCCAACTGCCTCACACAGTGCTAGGACTGCACACACCCGGCCTGCAAATCCTCATTAACTCCGCAGCTCAGGCCTACTCTGCTGGTCAGTGGCCCATGGCCCATGACACCGGAGGAGGCCAGACAAGCATGTACTGTAGGAAGCCTTCGTGTCACCTATCTATAAACAAGAGAGGCTGGGTTCCCCCCTTTGACAAGTACCCCCAAACAGGTGTCCTGAGGTGACACTTTGTAATGGTGACTGATTAAATGCATGTTGGCCCATGTAAGAAATTCCCTATCAGGTCCAAAGATAAAAACAACTCAGGCCACAGCAGAGGGACTGACACATTTATCCTACAACCCTGAGACATTGTCCAGGTCCTGGCCATAGCACAGACTCAGGGCAAGGACACCGAAGCTTGGGGCCAGTCCGTCCCCAGGAAGCCACAGGGCCAAGGCCGGGATCAGATTGTATATGGGCCCTTGAGGTGACACCAGGGTCCTGTCCTACAGAGCACGAGTCACAGGGGCTGAGTTTGCCAGTGAGTGACAAACCAGTGACACAGCCATACCTGACCCAGAGGCCGACTTTATTTCTATTCTAACAGAGGCTGACTTTATTTTCCAACCCAGTGACTGCTGGCTTTGCAGTCATTTTCTTCTTCTGCGTATCGAAGTTCTGACATCTCTGTAAAAGCACTAGACCATGCAGAAATTCCTCTGTATCACCATCATAGAGCTTGCAGAGCTCATCCTATTTGTGAGAAACGGGCCTGTCATATGTATGGTTCTGCACATGATTTTTTATTTCCAATTTGATACCAGCTACCAACCAAGTTTTCAGAGGAAGAATTCCCTTCCTTCCCCCCATACAAACCAATGTGTGAGAACATATTTCTTCACACTCTTTCGCATCATTCTCTTGCTGACAGTTGAAAAAGCACATCTCATTTTTCATGCTTATTTCTTTTGTTATCGGCAATGCAGGTCATCTTTCCACTTAATTACTGGCCTACAGGGTTCCTTTGCCTGTGTTTAAGGCTTAATCCTTTGCTTTCTTTTCTGACTGACAGGAAGAGGCTTTTTTTTTTTGGCAATAATGGTGAGTGAACCCAGGGCCTTTGCACTGAACTACAACCACAGGCTTTTTTATTTTTGAGACAGGGCTCTCTAAAGTCTCTAAATTGTACAGGTTGGGCTGAAACTTGCAATCCTCGTGCCTCAGCCTCTCCACGCTGGGCTCACAGGTGTGTCCCAACACAACTGGCTGGATGCAGTTAATCTTAACCTGTGGCCACAGGTGTGGCAAACAGTTCTTAGTTTTGCTTGCAGGGCTCGGTGGGTGGGTCAGGCCCGAGAAACCATGCTGCTGGCTGTAAAGCTGGTTTCTTTTGGTTTCTGTCTTTGTTCCATATTTACAAAGCCCCCCCCCCCAAGCCTAGATTAGCGATGATAAAATTCATAATCTCTTCTGTATGTTTACAGTTTTCGTTTTACAATTTAAGTATGTTGACTGCTCTATTTTGGTGCAGGAATAGGTTGGGGTCCAGGGTAACTGGCTGCTCTCCGCCACTGGCCATTACTGTGGCACCACTGGTCTGTCCACGTTTTCCAGTGGGTCTGAAGTTTTGAGTTGTGGTGTGAGTGGCCTGGGTCCCAGCTCCGTCTCCGGGCTGTTCAGCTGCACACTGGCCCTGCTCTGGGTTGGTTGACAGGGCTCTGCAACGTGCCTGCCCTCTATGTGCTGTGCTTTCCATTCCCTCCAAATGCATTTTAAGGAAAGTGATTTCTGCAGATCCAAGGAGGGACCCTGCAGGCACAGCAGCTGGGGGGCTGGGGGTTTGGAACCTGGAGTCTCCCGGGTAGCCTGTCATGGTTATGGACTGACAGGCAGCTCTCATGCTGCCCCTCTGCTCTGAGCCTTCTGCAGACTGTAGAGACTTGGGGCTCCTGGGAGATGTGAGAGAGTGTTACAGTGACCCCTCAGTGCTGGAGAGACAGCTGGCCAGCAGGATCAGGGCCATGTCCACTGCACAGCAGGGCCAGGCATTGAACATCATTTGTCGCTACCTGGAAGGGCACACCCAGGTAAGGCCCCAAGGTGACTCCATACTGGGTGAGAGTCCTCTCTGGCCCTGACCCGCAGAGAGTCTCAGGCCTGAGGAGGTCTGGGGGGAGCTCACTGCATGGCTGTCATTGCCAGCAACCACCGTCGGGCTCCCAAGACCTTCATATCATTGGAACTCTTGAACTTCCACCAGGAAGGGCTGGAAGGTTGGAGGGAGTCAGGGCACCTGTGGCTACTCCATATCAGCAGGTATCTGGGCAGAGACCCAAGGCTTGGGATCCAGTCCCCTCCACCCCACGTCCACCCAGAGCCTCCTACTGACCTATGCACACAAGGCCCCCACTCCTCAGGAATCCTCTGATCTTGAAATTGGCTTTGGGCATAGGGTGGGAATGGCAGGACCCCAGCACTCTGTGAATGTTGGGGACTCTTTAGACCAGCTTGAAGGCCTGAATACCACTAGAGGTCATGTAGATCCTGGGGTGGGCAGGGCTGTGCTGGCCTCTCTTCCAAATGTCTGCTTCAGTCTTTATCTCTAGCCTCTGGAGGCTGCAGCCAACCCCTTGGGCCACTCTGAGTGACAAGATTCTTTGAGGGCTGAGGGCTGATGGAGGAAACACAGTAGGGCCTGTATGCTTACAGCAGTCCTGCTGCAAGCATACACAGCTTGGCTCAGATGAGAGGGTAGGGAAAAGCATCCAGTCAGAGGGAACTAGCTATGCAAAGGCCCAGGGGCCAGCATGGCAGCAACACAAAGGGCAGGGGCACTCCCACATGTCAACTTGGGTCACTGGCCACATTAAGGTACTCAGCCTCTGTCTGAAGGGTAGGGATCTGCTGGGGCCTGTAGCAGAAGCCAGGATGACCAGAATCACTGAAGTTCGAATGGCTGGCTACTGTAGGGCTCCAGCCCTCACCCCTTCCTCACCCAGCAAGCTCTCAGTCTTGTCCACACTGGGCTATGTCCCATACTGGTGGGGCAGGAGGTGAGGATCTGAGCACTGAGCTCTGCCACAGCCCCCGGGGCAGCAGCGTGTGGTGGACACAGACATCAGCGTGCAGAAGCTCCTGGAGTCCCTGTGCCTGGCACCCGAGCGGGCCACGGATAAGGTTAGTGCCAGGCCAGGGCCACTTGGAGCTCCCCAAGAGGGCGGGAGGTGACAAGACCCAGCCCGAGTCCATACATCTAGGAGTGATCAGGGAGCACAGTGACATTCAAGGTGTGCCTTGAGGGGCCCAGAACCGAAGGCCTAAGTTTTAGGGTGGTGCAGTAATCAGCACAGGAATTGGGCATCACCTGCAAGAGTCACTACGAACTGTAGAGTTGCTAGAGCCCTTGTGGTACCCAGCCCCTTGCCCCTTGTCCATGAGCACTGCACATGGACACCAGCATGGACATACCCTTGGGCTGCCAGCCCCACCCCACAGGGCCCTGCACACAGACTAGCCCCAGGCTTAGGGTGGGTGTCAGCCCCAGCTGGTCACAGGCCCAGTGCCTCGTTGTCCCCCTCTTGCTTTCCCAGACCCTCCTCTTCCGCCTCTTTGGGCTGATCCTTTGTGAGTGCACAGATGCGGTGCTGGTGAAGAAGTACCTCACCTCCCTTCTGGAGCTGTCTCACCAGGACTTCAGCCAGCGGGAGGTACGCTGGGTCCTTGAGGTCCCTGGCTCTCCTAATCTTGCAGCCTTGTGCCTTGGCCTGCACTCCAATGTCCTGTGCTCACAACAAGGAGCACTGTCGGGTGCTGACAGGCCCTACCCAGCAGAGGGCATTCCCGCTGGGAGGGGTGGGCCCTCAGGGCGCCAGAAACATCCAGTACTGTTGCCTGGGGTCCTGTTCTCTGGTACCCTGCCCCACAGGACATCGCACTGGCTGTGGGCTTGGCATCCACTACGCACCTGGAGGAGGTGTGGGCCCTGCTGGAACACCTGGGCAACACCTGGTTCTTGAGGTGGAGGAACCTGTGCCCTGAAGGACAGGTAGAGAGGCTCCTGGTAGCCATTCTGCAAAGGGCAGTGCAGGGCAGGGAAGGCCTCAGCCTGGGTGCCTGCTGGTAGCAAGGGGGTCCCAGAGGGCTGGTACGTGGGACAAGGCTGGATGAAGGTCTTCTCTGTACTTCCCTGTTCCTGAGATCCTATGGGCAGAGTTCAGAGCTGCTATTAGATGCAGGATCTGAGGCCATGGGGACTGCATGGGGCTTTAGGTGCTGTGTAACCCAGGCCTCAGTTTTTCCTCAGGGCACCTGCTCCAGGAGGGTATGTCGATCAGCTTCATTTTCCTAGCCACTCCATGCCCCAGTAGCCGTCCTGGGAGGAGTAGGCCACAGAAGACCTGCCTGTGTAAGGGTGCTGGCTGGAGGGGTTTTCTGGGAGTGAGAGCTGGTGCCAGGCCTGGGATCTGGCTCCTGTGGGGTGTGGACACAGCTGGCCACCACCCTGGACCTGTGCCAAGGGCTGGTGTGGGCTGTGAGGGCCTGGTATGGGGTGGGGCTGACAACTAGCAGCCCCTGCTACCCACTCACCTGCAGCACCCAGATGCCAACCTGCACTGGAAGTGGGTCAGCAGCACCGTCTTACTGTGCTATGGACAGATGGCCGCACATGCCAAGGAGCGGATCCTGCCCTGGGTAGACAGCATCACCTCCTGGATGGTGCACTACTTTTCCTGCAGCCGCAGTGTGAGCCCCACTCATTCTCTTGCGGGGGTAGGCAGGGAGGGTGCCTCTGGTCCCCTTGCCTATCCCTATGCTGACCTGCGAGGCAGCGGGGCCTAACCAGGGAAAGCCCAATGGTCCTGCTCCGTGCATGAGGGGCTGAGTGCCCTAGCTGCAGGTGGCTCGGGTAGGGCCTAGCTGGGCCAGGCAGTGAGGCTGGCAGGGGAAGCTGTGTGCCTTTCACATCTCTGAGCGCTCCATCCAGGGACTCCAGCAATCCAGGAGACGCAGTGAAAGGGCTAAGACTCACCACTCTGGACCACCAGAGCTGCCAGGGATTGAGGGGCGAGGGGTATATGTGTTATGTATGTTGTGTATGTGTGGTATACATATGCTGTGTATAAGTGGTGTTCTGTGTATGCTCTGTGGATGTGTGTGAAGGAGTGGTGTGAGATTTGTGTGTATGAGTGTGTGCTGTGGGGATATGTAAGTGTGAGAATGTGCTGTGTGTATGTGAAGGTGTGTTCTGTGTGAGTGTGAGGGTGTGATGTATGGGTGTGTGTATGAGGGTGTACTGTATGGATTTATGTATGCACCTGAATTATCTGGTACCCTGGTCAAGATTGGCAGTGTGACAGGATTTCTGTCAACTCTCGCCTAATCTGGGTACTTGTGTACCATAGGATACTGTCCTCAAAGTCAGCTTCCTTTCTGCTGCTGTCCTGCTCACCAAAGTACTCAGGCAGGACTATGGTGCTCAGAGGTACAGGTTCACCCAGATACCGGAGATCATCCAATGTCTCCTGGTGAGTGACATGCTAGGTGTCCTGCCCTGTGGGCACTCAAGGACCACCCCCAGCGTGAAGAAGCTCAATGGCTGGTTCAGATGCTACTGCCACCTGGGCCCTCTTCTGCCCTCTCAGTGGATCCTCCAGGAAGAGCCCAACTGCCTGGTCACCCTGTCTCGGCAGAAGATCATGTTGGTCATTATAGGACTGAGGTAACTTCTCTGGGGTCCAGCACGAAGACAGGCCAGGCCCTCTGAGGATGCAGGGGGCTCAGTATGCCAAGGATGAGGAGCAGGGACAGTACCAGCTGCTAAACAGAGCTAGGAGGGCTGAGGCTGGGACATATCGTACATAGGAGGTTAGGTTTGATTTGTTTCATGGCTAAGGTACATTTATAATGCTGACACACACCAAGCCCTGACCCAGGCTGCATCTGCGACTGATCTTGGTCATGGCCGAGCCCTAACCCTGGTCATACAAGAAGCCCTGACCTTGTTGCCCCTTAAGTCTTGATCCTGACCACAGATTAAGTACTGACCTTTGTCACCAGGTGGCCTCTGGTGCCACTCACGGCCTTATCTTGACCCCAGAATAAGCCCCAAGCTTCTCACAAGTGCCGAAGAACCCAAGGGATGAAGCCAAGGAGTTGGTTCGGCTGCAGTTCCTGCTGCCAAGGGCTCCTCCAGTCCAAATACGCTCCACTTCCCCTAACCTACCTGGAGCCTGAGGCAGGCTTCTATGCAGACGACACTCATTTGTGCCCATTGGATTTGTGCAGAGGCCTCAGTCAGGTCTCTGTTTAAGCTCTGACTGTGCAAAGGAGTCTTCCCTCATTTCTTGCAGCAACCTGCGGCCCAGCCTCCCGCCCTGGGTCAAGTCCAGGGTCATAAAAGTCTGCCTGCGAAGTGTGTATGCGCTGCCCCCTACAGAGAAGCTGCCAAGCTGCCTGCCGTCACTGGACCCATTCTCTAGCGTCGATGTCATGGTGATTGCCTGCTCCAGCCATCCTCTCTCTGGGTTAGGGGCTGCGGACTGGGAGCTGTTAAGCTCGGCCTGGGGAAGGGGCCAAGGAAGGAGCTGGGGCCCAGGTTTGGTTCCATCCTGGCTGCAACACAGACTTGCTATGACCTTGAAAAACCTCCAGCCCCGGGTCCCTTGCAGTTCTGTGAGCTGTGTTCAGCTTTTATGACTCAGCTTTACTGAGTCCACAAATGCCCCACAGCCTCAGGGGCTGGTTGGCTGCAGGCTCTTTGTCCTCAGGGGCTCCTGGCCCTTTGTCCTCAGCCAGGCAGGCAGGGGGACTTTCCTGCCTCAGGACTTTGTCCTGTCCTGAGCCCCGAGGCAGGCCGTGCAGGCTGGCACACACATGCCTCCCTCTGCTCCTGCCCACACTTAGCACACAGCAAGGGCTTGTCACATCCCAGGAGCCAAAAGCACGCCCTTCACCACCACCACAGCTCAGGCTGGGACAGCTCTGCTCTTGGATGGGGTGCAGCTGCCTCGATGGTTAGGTTTTGCCCCCTGTGCAAGGCCTTGTACAGGGTCTGCAGTGACAGGGGAAGATGTTTGTCCTCACAGCCACAACTTGGTTAGCAGGGACAGCAAGAGCCAGGGAACAGGCCAGGAGGGACCTGGGCTGTGTGCCTGGGCTGGGCTCCTGGAGCAGTCTGCTGGACAGAGGCCAGCATGGCTGTCCACTGGATATTCCCTCCTGCAGGGAGAGAGGACCCTGCAGGGATCTGAGGAGGTGGTGGGATCTTGTGGAAGCCCATCTCCAGGGGGTCAGCAGGGAGTGGCAGCCAGTCTTGTGGGAGCCCTGGCCCTCTGTTGTTCATCTGGGCCTGGTCAGTCACTGGGTCAGTCAGGCCCTGACCACAGGCTGTGCTCCAACACTGTGTCGGGCAATATCCGGGGCTCTCTGCAGTTGGGGAATGGGTATAAAGGCCTTCAGGAAGGCTGAGCAGAAGCCCTGCCTTCTACCACAAGCGTCTAGTTATACCCAGGTGAGTCCCAGCAGCCAGTGTCCACACTTTGAGGGTGTCAGACACTCGGCCATAGGAATTGGTTCAGGAAGGAAGTGTTTTGTTTTAAGGTTGATTAAAGCAAAATTGAGACAGACACCACACCCATCCAGAGTGCACTCTTGTGTATGTTTTGATAGACATATATGTGAAACCATCATCAAAATCAAGACGGTCAGTCCCTAAAGCTTCCGTACCCCTTAGGACTCTCCCTCTGGGTCCCCTGTGGGTGTCCCTCCTCATCTCTCATTACTGACACACTAGCGCACTCCATCACTGAGCATCTATTTGCACCTTGAATTTAATACACACTGAATCATGTAGTACGCATGTACCTTTGTCTGGGTTCTTTCCTCTCATCGGTGATGGTGAGGCCATCCATGGCGTGGCTTGCACTGGTAGACCATTCTCCCCTGCTGAGGGCCACTTCATTTCCTGGATATGCTGCCATCCAGTGCCTCTCTCTGGATGGGGGGAATGGGGCTTGTTTCTAGGTGTGGCTGTTACAGAAGATGCTGCAAACATTCATGTTCCGGTCTCCATACCAACACATGCTCCAGTGTTTGCTGGGTTAATACTTAAGTGTGATCACTAGGTCACATGACAGGTGTATGTTTAACTTTTTAGCAAGTTGCCCAACTGTTTTCCACAGAGGTTGCTCTACCTCACAGCCCGCAGCAGTGTCCTAGATCCCAGTGGCTCCATGTCCTTGACACCGCTGGGCACCATGCATCTCTGACACATTAACCATTCTGATATGTGTGTAAGTTATTGTGGTTTTAAGTCTTGTTTTCCTACTAATAGTGTCGAGCATCTTTTCATGTATTCATTTGCCATCTCTGTATAAGGTGTCTAAATGTCATAGCTACTTTTGAAATTGGGTGATCTCTTCAGGTATCAGGTAATTTTTAGATTTCCTCTTATAATCTAGATGGGAGTCCTTCATCTGATACGTGATTTGAAAATATTTTCTCCCAGTTTGTGGCTCCCTATCCTCTTAACACTGTCTTCTAAAGAGCAGAAGTTGTTAATGTTGAAGAAATTGATTCAATTATTTTTTTCTTCATGGACTGTGCTTTGACCATTGTACCTAAAAATGTTTTCTTGGCCCAAGGTCATAAGACTTTATCTTGTACTTTTTCCTTGAAGTTTTGTACCCAGGATTTATACCTGGGTCTACCTCTTAGTCCACGTGGGTAGCTGTAACAAAATATCATAGTCTAGGTAGCTTTTAAACGACAGTATGTGCTTCTCACAGTTCTGGAGGTGGAAGCTGGAAATCGGGGTGCCAGGTGACTGGTTTCGGTGAGGGCTACTTCCAGGATGCAGATACCGACTTCTCCATGTCTTCATCTGGCAGGCAGAGGTCCAGACAGCTCTCTGGGACCCCTTTGATATGGGCATTTATCCCATCACCAGGCTTAACTCATGACTAGTCACCTCTGGAAGGCCTTACCTAACACCATCACCTTGGGGTTAGGATTTCAGAATATATATATTTGGAAGGACACAAATGTTCAGTCCATAACAATCCATGATCTATTTTGCATTAATTCCTATATTGTACAGATTGAAGTTTAATTCTTTGCAGATTGGTATCCGCCTGCCTGTTGCACAATCACTTGTTAAAAGGACCATCATTTCTTTATTCAGTTGCCTTCACATTTCTGTGAAGAATTAACGGGCATGTCCCATATATCCATAAAATAATTCCTGGGATTTTGTACATGACTTTTGCCCTTGCAGTAACTGGAGATTGAACCCAGGGGGCACTAAGCTACATCTCTAGTCCTTTTATTTTTTATTTTGGGACAGCGTCATTCTAAGTTGCCAAGCTGGCGTTGAACTCTTGATCTTTCTTTCTCAGCATCCCCACTAGCTGGGATTACAGGCATAGAGCACTGTACCTGGCTTTATACATGACTTATTTGAATAAAGTCAGTTTACTTTTTCCTTTCAAATCTGGATGCTTTTAATATCTCACTCTTAATTTATGATACTTGTTAGAAGTCTTGGTATAGCTTTGAGTAGTGGTGGTTAGAGTGAGAAATGCCAAGCTGCTCCCAGTCTGAGAGGGGAAGCATGCAGCCTCACCATTCAGTATGGTGCCGGGTGTGGGTCTTTGTTTTACATGATAACCATCACTGTCATCATCATCACTGTAAATATTATTAACTTTTGTAATGCTGAAGCTAGAACCCGGGGCTTCACATATGCTAAGCAAGTTCTCTGCTATTTAACTATATCCCCCAACCCTTGTAGATGTCATTATTAGAAACTCTATCTCCAATTTTCTGAGAATGTTTATCAGGGATGAATGTCGGTTTCATCAAATGATTTTCCGCATCTATGGAGATGATCAATCTTGTTATGTTGTGTTTTCATTTGCACTTAGTTCAATTTTAATGTTTTATAATTTCAGGTTTTTCTTTGATTTATTGCTTATGTAGATGCATGCTAACTAGTTTCAAATTTACTTACTTTTGTCAGAGAAAATACTTTGTTTAACTTTTTTTGGTTGTCTTTTTGAGACAGGGTTTTGCTGTGCAGTTTAGGCTGGCCTTGAACTCATTGTGCAGCCCAGGCTGGCCTTGAACTCACAGCAATCTTCCTGCCTCAGCTTCCCGAGTGGTGGGATTACACGATTTATTTTTGTTTTGTTTTGTTTTTTTGGTTTTTCTCCGGTACTGGGAACCAAACTCACGACCTTGCGCTTGCCAGGCAGGCGCTTTGCCGCTGAGCTAAATCCCCAGCCCCCACGATTTATTTGGGGACAGCGTCATTCTAAGTTGCCAAGCTGGCGTTGAACTCTTGATCTTTCTGTCTCAGCACCGTCACATCCAACCAAATCTCTTTAAATTTATTGGCCCAGAATGTGAACTTTGTAGGTAAATTACTGCTATGCACTTATAAAGAATATGTATTCTGCTGTTTCTCAGTGGAATGGCTTACAAAAGTCAGCTAGATAAAGCTAACTGACAGTGTTGTCCATACCTTCCTTCTCTGCTTAGGGTATTCTTTTGATCCATGGTTAAAATCCTTGACCCAAACTGTGGATTTGTCTACCTCCCCCTGCAGTTCTATCCATTGGTGCTTGGTTTATGTCGAACCTCTGCTGCGAGGTCCGTACACATTTAAGATCCCTCTGTTTTCCCGGGGAATTGGCCCTGGTGTCGTTAGCAGTGACATCTTTACTGCTGGTGCTCTTTGCTCTGAAACTGATTCCATCTGTAGTGTGGTAGTCCTTTCTCCATTCTTTTACCTTTGACCTATTTGTATCATGATATCTAAAAATTTTTTTTGTAGGAGATGTATGAGGGTTAGGTCTTGCTTTTCCTACTGTCTGAGTTTCTGCCTTCTACTGGAGGCAGGGCTCTAGCCCAGTCATATATAAGGGAAGTTAGAATCGCATGACCATTATGCTGTTTCTTTTCTATTTGTCTATCTAGTCTTTGCTCCTCTGTTAATCTCTTTCTGCCTTCTTTCAAGTCATTTAACATTTTTATGGAGATTTTTTTTAACCTGCTTTTTTGACTTCTTATTTATAGCCATTGAGTTTTTTTGGTGTATGTGTTGGAATTTGTATCATACGTATTTAATCCTCCCTCTCTCTTTGTCCTGTATGGTCATATCTATATTTACATCTATGTCCATAGTTATATATACAGGTCCTAAATATACACCTAGCTACTTCACTCTACCTATAGATCATATACCACTACTTATACTTTTATCTATACCTACACTTAGATCTACCTATCTAATCATCTATTGATTTAAAAAAAAATACCCTACCTGAGAGATTCTGATTTGCCCTCCTGATTAACTGTACATGTGTGTAGGAATTGAAAAATCATTTGATTGAAAATCCCTGATAAATGGATTTGAGTAATAAGATTGAGTAAGAATGGGTCTGTGCTCAGGTTTCTATAGCTAGGAACTATGCCCAGCACTTTGTGAGCCCTGCGGACTGTCCCTCTCTTATCCCCTGGGAGGTCCTGGGTAGTGTCTGCGCACTCTGCAGTGACACTCAGCCTGGACTCCAGGGACCCTCTCAGATGTTGCTCCCTTGAGAAGCCCTCTCCTCTCCCATTCTCTGTTCCATGCCCTCACTGCCTTGCACTCCAGCTGGCCCTCCATAGTGGGAGGAAAGCACAGAAAAGCCTGGGAGTAATCTTGGCTGTCCTGGGATCTGGAAGAAGTGTCTGCCCCACTACCTGATGACTCTACTCTCCTTCTCTGGGGCAATTAAAATCAGCAGCCAACACATGATGGAAAACTTGATTAGATGCTTGCTCCTGCTGTTGAATTTTTGCTCCTTGCTTGCTTCTTCACCTGTGCGGGGCAATCCTTGAAGCAGAGCCCATTTCCTGTACATCTTGCCCTTTTGCTCAGAAAGTGCTCTGCCTGTGGGAGAAGGATTCCATTGTACTTATATCCATAGCATGTCCTACCTTCTTGAGTCCTGAGAAATCTCCAGCCCTCAGGCTGGCCAGGGGCAGATCATAGCAGGATTGAGAAGTGCAGCAGGAAGCTGGAGAAGCCCTAGTTGTGCAAGAGGGCCCTGCTTGAGCAACTAGGGTGTCCCTCCCCTGTGGCACCTATATTGTCCTATCCATGGCAGATTCTATAGTTCCCTGTGGCTCCTACCTGCAGGGTCTGTCCTCAACTATAGGGGCAGGGCCAAAGCAGACACTTAGAAGCCTCAGAGGCAGGGAAGGCAAGGGTGTGACACCAGCTGACCTGCTTTTCCCACTAGAGCATATACAACAAGACAGTGCAAGCCCTCGACCTGCTCCTCCAGAACTTCTTCGCTGAGAACCCCAGGATGGATGAAGTCTGCTTCCTCCTGCAGGTGAGGTGGGCTCCAGCCCCAGCCAAGCAGCCTGCTGTGCTATGAGAGAGTGGGGGAGAGGGAAGCACAGAGGGAGGCAGAGAGATTCACCACACCCCCTGGGATCCTGCCTCAGCGCCACAGTCAGGCATGGAGGTCTCGCTCCCACAGAGTCCTGCCGTGTGGCCCAGTAGGACTGGCATTGTCTCAGGAGTCAGAGGCCTTCAGTGATGGCAGATGATCTGTGCAACTTGGCAGATGCTTTGCCCACTGCACACTCCCACACTACTTCCTGAGTTGTTCTGCACGGGCAAAGGGTGGATGGCAGTAGATGCCCTTGTGGAGGGGCTGATAGCACCCGTGACTGGCCCTGGGTGCTATACTTCACAAGGGTTAATCCCTCCAGCCCAGAGGGGCCGCAGCATTTCCACTTTACACGTAAAGGAAACAGGCCTGAGAGGGCCACACTCACCCCCGCCTCCTGATGACTGGAGGTGGAGAAAGGAGAAAGCCTCCTCTGTGGAACCCCAGGCCCTACCCTGAATGCCTAGGCACAGGTGTGTCCCCAAGAATGCCACATGGCTCAAAGGGAAGCCTGCTAGTGGGTGCTAGACCCAGGTTGGGTGCTTTCCTCTTGGCTCTGAAGGGAACTCGTTCAGCCCTAAACTGCCCTGTGACAGCCTGCGGCCCATGGAAGGGTGAAGGAGGCGGGAGTGCAGCCCTGGCCTGTGGACTGCCAGGCTGGGACTGAGGAGGTCAGGAGTGGTCCTCTGCAATTCTCTGGGTGCTTCTGGCCAGGCCAGGACTGAAGGGAGTCAGGGATGATTTTCTGCAGTTCTATGGGTACCCTTGGCCAGGAAAGGATTGAAGGAGGTCAGGAACAGTTGTAGTTCTGTGGGTGGCTGGCCAGACTAGGACTGAGGGGGATCAGGCATGCTCCTTTGTAGTTCTGTGCATTTTCTAGCAGGGTGGCTGTGAGAAGGCTGAGCCTCTAGAGGAGTCAGACTCCCAGCTGTTAAAGGTTTTAGTCTCACCTGAGGCTGTGTCAAGCCAACAGTGGTTACTGCCGGTGCCATTGACCAGAGCTTGATGAGGGCTGAGGCTTGGATGGAGCCACAGCTGACCAGTTCAGAACACAGATGTCCCCTCTGCCCCTCCCCTTGAGAAAGGAGCCCAGGTGTGTGGGTCAGTGGTTAGCATCTGTGCTTGAAGGTATGTGGTCAGGGGACAGGACCAACATCCAGGGAGCTAGTGGTCTAGCCAGGAACAAGAGAGTCTAGGGACAGGGGCAATAGGAACAGGGCTGGAGAAGCAGACAGCTCCAAGGAAAATACCAGCCACAGAGACTGCGTCCAAACCCCCGAAGTGACTCAGGAAACAGAGGAAAGAGAGACTGCTAAGGTGTTCACCTGGCCTCCCCTCACCCCACCTGTGCTGATGCAATGAGGCCCTTCGGATGCTGTCTCCACAGACGCAGGGCTCATGCTTCTTGGACACCTGGAAGCTCTAGTATGGCTTGTGGTGTTATGAAAGAATACAGTACTTGGCCCTTGGCCCTGGTTTGGCCCATAGCCCCCAAAGCCTGCAGACTCTCAGGAGTGTATGGGTGTCCTTTATAATGAAAGATAAATTAATATACTCCACTTGCTGCTAATAGCTGACAAAGTGGGGGCAATTGCGAGTACTGAGCCGTCAGCCTGGGGATCTGATCCTGTCCCAGGTAGACATTGTCAGAATAGTGGAACTGGAAGGTGCCTAGGTGGTGTCCTATGGACTTGTTCACTGGTGTTGCGCTGCCTGTGTGAGAGTAGGAGAAGTCTGGTCTCGTATCTCAGGTGGCCTCAGGCCCCACCTGGGAGGTGGCCCCTTAGCTGAAGGAGCTGGTCCTTGCACAGTGGGGAGGCAGATGGTCTGGCGGGCCGCCCTTACCCCTATTAGTCAGCCCCACATACTGGTTTGGGTTGGAGCTGGGAAGCAGGTGGGCCTACAGGATCTGTCCTCAGACCTGCTCTCCCATCTCAGCACATGGAGCACTGGCTGCAGTCGGACAACAGCCATGAGCGGCGGCGGGCTGTGCAATCCATTCTCCTGCTTCTGCAGTGTGTGGTAGACACTCTGAAGTCCACAGTGAGTCTCTGCCCACTGCCCCAGGGAGCAGCTATGCAGAGGGCATAAGGTGTACATCCACCCAGTAGACCATTCCCGGAGCACCCAAGGATTGAAATCGTCTATGCACATACAAGCTACTGGCTATAGGGGAACAAAGGCCCTGCCCTGAGTTCCCTTGCCTGGGCTTGAGGCTGCTACAGTTTAAATAGGAGGGTTTAAGGAAATCAGGCAGGAAGGCTACCACCAACAGGGAACAAATGCTTGAAGGCAGGAAGGGAGGTAGCTGTGGCAACCTGGGAGAAGACTGATCCCTGAGGAAGCAGCATTAGGGGGACAAGGAGGCCACAGTGGTAGGAGGAACTAGAGAAGCCAAGCAATTTTGGAAATGAACAATTCTGTTAAGCAGAAAAGAACAGAGAGTAAAGGAATAGGACCCTCCTCCTCTGCCTGCTGAGATGCTAAGTGGGAAAGAAAAGTCCTTTGAACAGGGAGTGTCGGAACACGCAGAGCTCCTTATAGGAACAGCACTGTCCCAGCTCACAGCAGAAACAAAATAACATCAGAAGCATCAGAATTGGGTGTGAACCCAGAACCCATGACATCTATGGAGGAAGACAGACCCTCTTTACACAATCGGGACAGGCAAAGACTGCCTGGACAGAATGCAGAAGGCTATAGCTGTTGGGGAAATATTGATTAAATAGAATTCATCAAAATTAGAAACTTGTGCATCAAGACACAGGACTCAGGCCAGGAGAAAAAAATGCATAATGGGTGTATTTTCCAGATACAAAAGACTTGTATCTGGAAATAATGAGCTCAGTGCAGAGACAGCCCAGATCCTCAAACTGGCAAAATACATAAATAGGCATATTGTAAAGCACATGAAGTCAAACAGGCCAGGCACAATTTGTTATAAAGGAAATGCAAATCAAAACCACGATAAGATAGATACCCACACCAGCCCTCTAGGAGTGTACAATTAAAGACTGGTGATACCAAGTGTGGCAGGAGTGGGACCAGCCAGAAACACCACACAATGAGGGTGGGAGTGTAAATGGTGAGGACCACTCAGCAGAATTTCCAGAAGTTTCTGTTAGGGTTAAGCACAGTCTTACCTCTAACCACAGAGTTCCACTCCTAGGTATTGAAGAGAAATGAAAACATCTATCCATGCAGAAACTCAGAGGCTGTAGCTCCTTCCTCAAGGCTGAGGAGCAGGATCAGGACTCCAGTGTGACTCGAGATAGGGCCCAGCCTTAAAGAGGCCATCCTCCCACCCACAGACTGTCTCTGATGACACTCCCCACACACCTCATCAATGGGTTCCAGGTGGGTGGGCCCAGCCTCGGGGCTGCTTCTACCCAGGTCCTAACTGCTTGGCTCAAAAGCAGCTCCTGCCCAAGGCAAGGCCCACTACATCCACTCCCTGCATCTCTGAGGCTAAGGCTGGGTACTAACAGGAGAGGTTGCAGACTACCACGCTCCCCCCACAACATGCATAGACACACACATGCACTCATATGCACACATGCACACATGCTGTGCTTGCAAAGATTGCAAGAGGCACACATTATCACTTTTTCACACTACTTTACTTTATTAAAGTAAAATTTGTATACAGTAAAATGACCCAATAAAAAGTTGTTAAGCAGTGCATGACTATATTTTCAACAATTTAAAGGAAAACATGAACATATTAATAGAACAGATGTGAAATATCAAAAGACAAGCGGTAACTATAAAAAAGTCGAATAGACATTGTAGAAATACAAACAGAATATAGTACCTTAAGTGAAAAAGTCCCTGGGTTCTGTTTACTAGTGGGCCAGATGATGCAGAAAAAAACATAAGTGAACCTAAAGACAACAGAACCTACCAAAACTGAAAGAAAAAGATTAGAGAAAAAATAATCAGAGGCTGGAATGTAGCTCAGTAGTAGGGCATTTGCCTAGCATGTGCAAGATCCTGGGTTTATGTCCACAACACAGCAAAAAAAGAAAAAGTCAAAACCACTCAAAGCAGCAACAAGCTGTGGAACAACATCAAGTGTAACTGGGGTCACAAGAGAAGAGAAGATAGGGGCAGAAAAAAGTTGCAGACGCAACAGCTGAAATTCCTTGAATTCTATGAAAAATATAAACCCAGAGATCTGAGAATAGCAATGAACCCCAAGAAGATAAATTCCAAGAAACCTATACTGAGGCACAATGAAACCAAACATTGTTGGAAGTGGGAATGATAATGATAAATGGGAAAAATCTTACAGCTGCCCAAAGGTAGAAATACGGGCATGTGAACCTCTAGGCGGTAAGGATGAGCACAACATAATTTCTCACTACTGGCAACAATAAGGACCCCTTCCATAGAGGAGGATGCTGAGGTCAAGAGGCACAGCTGAGCTGGGTTGGAACAGGAGCCCCTTTCTGACCCAGCCAGGCCACTTGCTATAAGATGCTAGGCCCCAGAGGGGACCCTAGGAAGCCAGGCCTGGCTCTGCTTACTCCCCTTCTCCCTAGGAAGAGGCCATGCCTTCCGTGCTGGGCCACCAGCTAGGCCTGCTGACACTGCTATGGTGGGACACAGATGCAGAGACCCAGAGCCTTGCCCACCAGTGTGTCTATCTACTCCTGCAGCTTTCTGTGCAGCAGAAGGGTGAGCTGCAAAGACCTGGCAGAGGCAGGGAGCTCCCTCACCAGGTGGGGGAGTCCTGCACTAACTTTGAGTCCTGCACAGGAACAATGGTGTGTCTGCGCCAGAGCAAGGTGAAGTGCTTCAAGGTCAGGACCTCTGGAAAAGGGGAGGCGGAGCTCAAACATTTGGTGAAGGTGAGGCCTCCCAGAGCTGGGGCTACTGGAAGGTGGGTACACTGGCTGGACCCCCACACTATCCAAGAGGATAGGATTTCTCTGGTCCCCTCCTCCCCTCGGCCAGTTGTACAGCTGGGGCCTGTGGCCTATGCCTGGAGCAAATGGAGCTCAGCCAAGATGGAACAGCCTAACAGACCTTGCCCTTCTGCGGAAGAGTGCCCTGTCTCTGCTCCACCTTGCAGGTTTTCTCCAGACATGAGCCCGTTTGGAGCTGCAGGCCTAAGGTTCTTACTGGGCATCCTGGGCCTACCTCTGAGGCTCCTTGGGAGGGAGACAGCTCATTTTGCTTTTCAAGGGATGCTCTATCTTAGCACTGCCCCTCTGCCCAGGCAACCTAGAATGACCCTGGTCCCTATACTCTCCCATCTCACCCTCCCTATGCGTTCTTCTCAGGCCCAGCCCTCCCTTGCACTGCACTAGGGGACCTTGGGTAGAACATTCCAGCCTTCTGAGCCTTGATTTCCTCACCTTTCAAATGAGGACCTTTCAGGTCTGAGACCCTCCTGCTCCTAGACAGGCTATAGTATGACAGTGCCACCTTTGTCCAGCTGGAGTCCCCTGGGCCACGCACCCAGCTGAGGCTGTGTCTCAGGGGCTCCCTCCCCAAACACAATGGACAGGAATTTGTTTTCACCAAGGACTTATTCCCAGGGAAAGTGGGTGAGGGAAGCAGGATCCGGTAAGGAAAGGCAGGAGCCACAGGGAGCTGTGAGCTACACACAGGCAGGGCACTGGCCACTGGCTGCAGGGTGGCGACCCTACTGCCCCAGGCAAGCCTGCTTGCTCCCATTGCCCCAGAGCAATCTTTCATAGAAGGAGCAGCTGGGAGCTTGTGGTGGCCACATTTGCAACCACCCGGTAACAGCCTGTCACTGTGTGAATGAGCAGCTAAGGCAAGCTGGGCCCTTCTGGGGCCCCCAAGCATCTGTGCACAAGGAGGTGCACATGGCCCTTGCTCCATCTCTGGGAACAACCTAACCTGGACGCCCCGGCCACTGCTGACCAGCGGCCCTTGCCCCCTCGCCCTGGGCACAGGCCTTCGACAAGGTTCTGAGTGAGGACCAGCACACACAGCTGGTGCTCATGCTGCTGCACGGCCTCAGCAGCCACAGCCTCCTGCAATGTCATCTGGCCTCCAAGCTCCTCCTGATGATCTTCGAGGGCCGCAGCATCAAGCCAGAGCAGGTGGGCTGGCACTCAGGCTCCCCTGGAGGGGCATGATGCCTGTCCTCAGCCTGGCTTGTGTCCCCCTGCACATACTAGAAGGGGAGTGGATGGCCACTCAGCAGGGGCTATCTGTACTGCCCATGTGTGCACACTCATGCCACAATTCCCACAGGAGACCACCGGTGCCTCTTTCAGCAGCCTCCTCCCAGCAGCTCTGCCACTGCAATTGCAGTCATACACTGCCTCACTGGCAGCCTGTAAGACAGCGAGTTAGTCTGGTAATTCAAGATGCACCCTACACTAATGTCACACATTAGGTGCCTGGCCCTACCAACTCAGGTGCTCCACACTGGCCTTTTGTAGGGATGGCATCCCACTTTCCCAGGGACAAACAGGCAGAATGAAGGTGTGCAAAGGGACAAAGTGGCACAAACCCTAAGCCAGGTCTGTAGAGCTGGGCCCCACCCAGGATCCCAGGGTCCTACTCTTTTGTCCCGTCTGAGGTTTGCTCCACCTGCCCCTCCTGCACAGGTGGCCGAAGTCCTGCAAGGCCTCTTCCAGGAGGTGCCAAGTTTCCACTTCAAGAAGACCCAGCAGACCATGACAAGGGTCATGATAGCTCTGGGGACCCAGTACACATCAGAGGTGGCTGAAGTGCTCCTGTCCCTGTGCCACCCCTCAGAGAAGTAGGTCTCCTCCTCAGCCCACCGCTCCAGAAAGACTGTTGTGTGGCCTCCTGGAGATGCTTGGGCTCTGTTGCAGGCACCAGGAGACATGTGCCTGAGGGTTTCTGCCAGGCACACCTCTTCTCCTGGAATCCAAGCCCAGGGCAAGCAGTCCCCAAGGGTAACCTGGGCTAAGGGCATTGAGTGGGTGCTCCCAGGGTCCCAGGAGGGGGCTTCAGCATAGAAATGTCTCTCAGACTCAGAGAGACCCCAGTGGCCAACCTCCTGCGGAGCCAGAGGTCAGATGGGTGCCACCAAGACAATGAACCTGGCCAGTTGCCACTTACCGGTGTATGGAAGGTCTCCCATTCCCCCAGGGGCTCCTCTGGGACTGTGAGGCAGCACAGCCTGTGCACCCATGTGGCCAGTGGTGACACAGGCTTCTGTCTCCCCAGGCAGATCCTAACCCTCTGGATATCCCTGGCTTCCAATTCCAAACTGGCTCGAAATGTCATGACCCTGCTCTACATGAAGCTCAAGCTGCACCCCTCCTTGGAGATCATCCAGTCCACCCACCAGGTCCAGCTTATCTCTGTTTTAGTGAGATGGGCTCCAGGTTCTGTTCAGGGTCCCTTTTGCAACAGTACCTGCACCCAGTGGGGTCCCAGGGTGACATTATGCAACTATCAGAAGTCTGGCCCTCACTTAGGCCCTTGTCGGTTTGTGACTGCCTAGTTTCAGGGAGACTGTTGTTTGTGAAGATGGCCACCATGTTGCACCTGCACATATGAGCCGCTGGGTGTCTGGGACACTGGGTGACTGGTTAGCTGCCTGGCCACAGGGCCTCACTACTGCCATCAGCACTCATTTCTCCATGAGGGTGCCAGTGCAGAAAGATCAAACATCCCGCACACTCACAGCAAGTGCCCACCAGAGCACTGTGACCCGTAGGTTCCCTATAGAAGCAACAGGAAGCTAGGGAGGAGTTTGATCTAGGAATGATTTGGTTAGCTCTGCCCTTGACAAGAGGACTCTGGGCAAGGGGAGGAGCAGTGGAGGTTACACTGCCTCTAGAAATCAGAAGAGCTAGAGGGCATGGAGACCACAGGATTGTTTAGGGGCAAGTGCCCAGGGGCACAGTGACCATTTATAGCCCCACATAAGGAAACAAGGCCAGATGGAGTCAGACATAGAAACCAGCGGTCCAGGATAGGAAGCCAGTGGGAGCAGGAGAGGCCTTCACCAAGGAAGCATCTGGAAGGGACCTCTCCACAGAAAGGATGCTAGAAAGAGCCAGACAGCTCACCAGAGGGCAGAGCCAAGCAGGGGAAGGGCAGCCAGTGGTAGGGTCTGGGCAAAGCTTGGAGTCCAGGCAAAGGTAGGAGGTTGGGGCCCAGCCTATCCTATCTTGCAGCTGGCTGCTGCAGGAGGAGTTAACCAACCCAGGTCTGGCTACAAGTAGCCAAAGGTTCCTGATACTGAGTCCTAGGGTGAGACCAAGTAAAAGCAGGGGGATCTGGAGACAGAATGGGCATGTGGCCTTGCTGCCCTCTTCTCCAATCATCTGGCACCTCTGTGTCTGCCCTACCACCTACTGCAGGCTTTGGGTACCATTTATGAGCTCCTCTACATGCAGGAGTACAGGGCCATAGTCCGCAAGGCCTTTGCGGGGATCCTCCTGGGCCTGCTCACACAGCTGTACTACCTACTCGAGCTGGGCATGGTTGAGGGCTTCTTGGACTACCAGGAAGACATCCTGGACTCCAAGCCCCTTGGGCCCTGCAGGTGAGATGTGGCGCAGACTCAGGCCCACTCCCCTCCTCTTTTGGACCCTCCCATTGGGCCGGGGATCCTCCCACTAGATGCTAGGTGCTGAGGACTGAGGAAGGAATGGACTGTGTTCCACAGGGTGGGGTAGAGGGCACGGGGAGCCCAGAAGGCAGCAGCTGGTCCAGGCCCCATGGCCTCCACCCTCTCCCAACACTCTGCATCACCCCAGGACCTGCCTAGAAGCACTGAAGGGCCTCTTCTGGACCACTCGGTACTGGGAGGTGTTCGCCCACATCAAACTGCTCAGAGGCTGGGAGCTCTTTGGGCACCTAGAGACCTACACGGAGGGAGTGACCGTTCTGGCCAGGTGATCCCCAAGCTCGGGTACCCTGGCTGGGAGGGGCTGGATCACACCCTCATGGGGCCTCCTGCCTGCAACTTCTCCCACTGGATCCTGCACTCAACTTAGCTGCCTGACAAGGGCCCTGAAATCTGTGGCAGTGGTGTGCCTGCCCCCGCCTCCAACCTTACCCTCAGCCTGACCAGAGAACAGGGGCCTGTTTCTGTTTCTTCCATCTGACAGGGCCATGGCACTTTATGGCTGTGAGGTCAAGGCTGTCTTGGGACAGGCCATCGTCTCCATGAGGAGCGCTGAGGAGCAAGACAACATTGTGGCCATCCTCATCATCTCAGAGGTCAGCCTCTCCCTGGCCACCCACACTTTGCTCTCTTACACTGTCCTCTGCCCTTCAGGAAGAAAGTCAGAGCTGAACTTTCCTCCCTGTCCTTGCTATGAAGGCATCCCGGCTTCTGCCTGACACATGTCGCAGGCTGACTTTCCCTGACAGTGCTGACCCTACAGTTTCTCAACAGTCCAGAGGTTCCTAAGTACGTGTCCCAGAGGACCATGAAGAAACTTCTGAGCCTGGGCCTGAAGAGTCCCAACTGGCTGGTACGGGCCATGAGCCTGAAGGGCTTCAGTAGCATCCTGATGAACCCCAAGAAGGTGAGAAGGAGATGGGAACCTTTGTAGGAAAGCACTTCCAGCCCAGAAGGACTGCCGGGAGGAGGCTGGAGAAAAGCCTCCAAGGTAGGCAGATGGGGAAGCCACATCAACCAGTGGAAAAGGCACTGTGCAGGGGGAGGATTCTGAGCTGCAGGGAGCTCTGAGTTCAGCTTCCTTAGTCTACTTCTGGAGAATATGTTTCAAGGGTGTGTGTAACATAGGAGAGGTTGGCAGCGAGCAGGGCTCAACTATGCAAGGGCAGCAGCAGGCCGAGGAGGCTTGTTGGGATCCTCTGTCATGCCCCACCCACCTCCCTCTGCCTGTTGAATCTCCCAGAGCAGGTCCATTGCCCCATAATGCCATCGCAGGGGTAAAGGGCCTTGTTTCCATCTACCTGTCCAGCGTGGAGGAGAGGTGGGGAGTGAAACTGTGGTCAGTCCAACCAGGGACTCGGTCCTCCATCCGGGAGATGGATAGGTACAGTCTGGAGGAGGGTAAGCAGTCCAGGCGCTTTGCCCCACTGTGAGGGGCGTGTCTCTTGCAGGTGGCCCTGCTCCATGGCATGCTCAGGGATCTGGTATACAGCTTTCTGCAGCCCCAGCCCCAGGATCCCCTGGGTCTGATAGTAATCCTGGGCGACATCCTGCACCGTCTGGGCCTCCAGGGAGTTGGCGCCATCAGCGTCCAGATTGCCCAGCACCTGCTGCAGCTGTTTGAGCATGTGAGGGGAGCAGGGCGGGAGGTGGGGATGGGGTGACTCGGGCAGCAGCGGGATGTAGCGGGGTGGTAGTCTCTGGGAAACCAGCAACCCCGGAGCCCTGAGCCCTCTTCCGGATGGGACTTACGGTCTCTCCTGAGCCCACCAATCAGAGAGGCCGACGCCATTCTATGGCTGGCTTGTGGATAAAGTCCTCGGGCCGAATAGCCTGGATGAGAACTTGGAGGCAGATGGGAGATTCCGCTGAGTCTTGGACTACTCTCCCACTGGCTGATCTTCAAGGCGGGGGCACACACTGCCCTCCCCTACTGTTTCCAGCCTCATGGGATGACAGGAACCACCAGTTCCCTTAAAAACCGCTCTCATGGTCTACCCCGAGGCAGTGTGGCCAAGGGTCTCCTGCTGGGAAGAGGGGCTAGGGGCTATGATGAGGAGAGAAAGAGGAGGCGCAGGTTAGCGTTTAGAAAGACCCTTGGGCTGCTGCGCAGAGAACAGCTGGGAAGCGGGGCCGCCTGGGCAGAGCATATGGTTTCAAGGGTGTGCATAAGGTAGGCAAAGTGGGCAGTGAACAGGTCTTACTCTGTGCAGGGGCAGCAGCAGGAAGAGGAGATGCAAGACCCCTTGGAGAATGGTTGGACGATCCTTAGCTGGGCAGGTGGGAGGGGGACGCTGCAATTCCTGCAGGTGAGGAGAGGGTGACAGCACGAATCTGGCTGGGGCAGCACGCAGCTCTACCTTTCATGGAGGTGTGAGGGGGCACTGGGTAGAGACTGAAGAGGTGAGCATCAGTACCACCAAGGCTGCCAGTAATGCGCACCGCTGGAGGTGCTGGCCTCAATCCTTACCTCAACCCAAGGACAAAGGCAGTGTTACTACCTTCTGTTTACAAACGATGAAACTGAATCACAAAGAGAAGGAAGCTTACTATGGTCACAGAGCCAGAAAGTGACACATATGGCACCAGGGTCTGCTGGCCATTGGAAGTCTCAGGCAGAGCCAGAGGGCTTGCAGGAATTGGGTGTGTTGCCTGCCTAAGCAGAAGGCCTACTTCTGTCCCCCAGAAAAAGGTGAAGGTGCGTGGAAGTGCCATCCTGCTGTTTGGGGATGTTATCTACAGTGGTGGCGGAAAGTTCCAGCAGACGCTCAAGAACTTGGCCTTCCAGGCCCTGGTGCCTCTGCTCTTGCACCTAGCCGATTCCTGCCAAGAGGTTGTCATGGTGAGCAGGTTTCCCCAGGCCAGGGTGGCCCGGGTTCCAGTGTGTGGGAGGACCCAGATCTATGACTGGAGACCGGAGGCAGGCTGGGCCAGAGTGTGAGGCTTGGGCCTCTTGAAGGTGAATCTCTGGATGGAGAAAAGGAAAGAACCCATTCCTGTGGTGGTCCTTCAGCCACCTGCCTTCAGCTTTTCCACCTCTGCTGCCTTGTCAGCCCAGGGTCTTGGGCATCTCCACTGGCCACAGAAACCTTCCCTTTCCCACACCTAAAATCAGCCTTGAGAGCCTGGCATCCACAGTCTTCTGCCTCCACTTTCCCCTCCCTTGGCTGGTGGCCCAAACTGTCCTACACAAGGGCTCCTAGAGGCCCCAGTCTCATCACATGGCCCCCAGGTTTTATGGATTCTGCCTTTGTGTAGTGCCCCTGACCTCTGGCAGAACCCTTTTTCACTTCTGGACAGGCCCCCTGCTTCATTTCCCTGGACACCTGGTCTGGCCTCTACTAGCTAGCACACCAGGACCACTTGCACTGGCCCTGCGTGCCTTCTCTGTGCTGCAGTATTACCCTGTACCACTGTACTTTGTAACCCTTGTGCTCTACCCAAGGGCCTCTCTACCCATCCCAGATGTCACCAAACAAACCACCCTGGGTCCATCTGCACTGTGGGAAGTTAAGCCCCTTTTCAAGACTTAGAAGGTATAATTCCTTTCTCTGAGACAGGGGGCCCAAGCAGACTCTTTGGGCAGCATCTCCTTCTTGGCATCAAGTAGGAGGCCTGGGCAGCCAAGGTGACCTCGGGCCTCGCTCTAAGCCTTGTGTAGGTGCCATGGGGCTTAGGGTGGGGGCACCTTCTTGGGTCCCCTTCCTCTGGTGGCACAGCTCTCTCTGGGCAGGCAGACAGCACAGCTAGGACCTCAGATGTCCTGGGAGAGTATCCCTGCAGAATCCTGCTCCCCTTGGGATCTGCCCGGGAGGGACATGATGATGGGCTGGAGGCTGGGTCTACTCTGGATGACCCATCTCTGTTCTGTACCCACAGAGGACAAAGTTCACCTTCTTTCGCTGTGCCATCTTGCTGAAGTGGGAGTTCCGAAAGGAGCTGTTCAGCAAGTTGGCGTGGGGCCAAGGACTGAGCGCCGAGTACGACATTTTTGTCTTCATGGTAAGGTGTGGGCACCCTCTGGGAGAAGGACCGGGGACAGGGAGGAGGAGATGGATGTGCACAGTCGCCTCAGCCCTGTCAGAGGAAGGTCGTGGAGGGTGGGCAGGTGGTCCTGCTCGTGTTTAAGTGAAACAAGGTGGAGATAGCTCCTTTCATCCCACAGACCTCACAGTAGATACTGGCCACCCTGCCGTCCCTCCAGGCTTGGAAGTTTCCTTTTCCATTCTGTGCTTCAAAACGACTGTCCTTCACCCTTAGGGGGTTGGACCTGAGAGAATCAAAGTTCCCCAGGAAAGAAACAGAAACATTTACTACTATATTTTGTTCTGGCCACCTCCCTCCTCCAGGGGGATGAAGGGCAGAGCCACTTCCTACTTGAATGTGGAGGGAGGAAAACATGGACGGAAGGGAAAACCAGTAAAAAGTCTCCTGGTAGTGCCAGCCAGAGTGGGCCCCGCAGTTGCTAGCAGACTACATTTAGAAGCTGTGAACAGCTGAAGGATGGAAAAGGCCAAGTCTCCAGGGACAGGAGCAGTCAAGAGCACTTCCTGCAGGGGACAGAGCCATCTGGTCCCAGAGAGGGATGGAAGTTTCCTTTCCTGGTGGGTAGCACAGCCTTGAGGGTTGAGCTCATCAGGAGCAAACAGACTGGCTGCCAGCCACAGGTTGCCCTATCAGAGTCTTCCCTGTTCTTTGGGAGGTTGTCTCTGGCTTGGAAATGTGTGTGGATTCCTCGAGCACCTCAGATGTGGGTCCTGGGCTGCTTATTTGGGTTGTACTTGTTTTTGCCATCAGTGGCTTGTGCGTTTGCTTTGCTGATGGTGTCTCTGGTTGTGCAGAAGTTTCCAAATGTAGTGTAGTATAACTAGATGTACTCCTTTCTGTGGTTTATGCTTTGGGGTCTTGTTAAGAGCCTCCTCCCTGTTCCCTGTAATAGTACCACATCTGGCAGAACTAGAGGGGCCTCCATGTTAGGTGTGGTGCTGAGTTCCTTGCTTGTGGGTAGGCATGCTGCACCATTGTGTACAGTGGTGCCATGTGTCACCTTATGCCGTGGTGAGTGATGATGACAACAGAAGCATGGACCTTGGGAGGGAGCCCAAATACCATGATGCTGACTTTAAATATTTGGTATCCATTAGGGTCCACTCAGGAGACAGACAGGCACAGCCACTTGAGTAGGGAAAACTTATGCAAAGGGGCATGATATGTGACTGGAAACAAGTTATAGTACAAGATGGCAAGAGCTTTAATCAACACCCATAAAGTGACATGTGTAATGTATATAATAGATAAGGTCCACTCCCCTGAGGTGGGCACCCAGGAAGAACCCCACCCCCAGAAAATCCAGGAAAAGCCTCTGCTAGGTGATGTTGCATGGAGCATAGGCTACAAGATTGCCCTGGGAACCTGGAGGAAGCTACTACTGCGGGGCTGCAAGAGCAGATTCTGGAGACATGGGTGGCAGCCGTGTCCCCTACAGGGTCCCTGCTTTGCTGCCTCCTTGACTTGCGGGGGTAGCTATGAAAAGAGACATCCCAGATCCATGTTCACAGAGCAGGCAAAAGGGGTGAATTTAGAGCTGGAATAAAAAAGGAGGAAAAAAGTTGGTGTGGATGCAAGGGTCTACACATGAGATGTGTGTGCTGACCTCATTCTATTACAGTTCACATGGCTTAACTCAGTTTCCTGTCTGCATCTTCTTTGCCTCTTTTTTTTTTTCTTTTTTTTTTTTCTTGGTACTAGGAATTGAACTTAGGACCTTGCACTTGCCAGGCAGGTGCTTGTGCCACTGAGCTATGTCCCCAGCCCCTTCTTTGCTTCTTGATGCTGCATTTTGGGTTGCTTTCCAGGCTTATCTTCTAGTCATGAAGTCATCTTCCTCCATCTCTGATTTGCTCTTGGAACGTCCACTGCCTGGTATTTGTGAGCCACCTGCTCCCTTCAAGGGTCATGCCTTTGTCTTCTGAGTGCCCGTTTCCCACAAATGTGACCATTTAAGAAAGTGCCCATTCTCTGCTTCTTGGCTGACCTGTGCTCTAGCTCTCAGGAAGTCACCCCTGCTGACTTCCTCTCATTTCAACGCTTGTCCTGTGCATGGCTTGGCCTTCCCTGGGCATCCTGGGCCTTGCACTCATGCATCTCTGTGGTTGCTGCTGACATGGGACACATTTGCTGTTAGGCTCCAAGGTTCCCCTAGAATGCAGGCCCTATAAATCCAAATTCTAAGCCTCATGTGGCCCTCACTCATGGGTGTCATGCTTCTGGAAATCATACTTTTCTCAAATGAGCTGAAAGCCACCTTTTTATAGGTCTTTCTGCCTGCCTTTGGGGTCTTCCACTCTGCTCCCAGGATGCCTCTTCTTCCCTTGACTCCCAGGCCTTAGGGCTCATTTCCTCATGGGTATAAGAGACAATGCCAGCATCCATGTGGGGAGACAGATTCACACTCAGGGTGGCCAGAGCTTCACCTCTGGGGCTTAAGGTGCTGGTTATATCCCTCTCCTGGTTACTTTTCTCTCATTGCAGGGATAAAATACGCAACGCCCAAAATGAAGGAAGGAAAAGTTTGCTTAGCGTTCAGTTTGTGGAGGTTTCAGTCCATACGTGGCTGGCTCCAAGGCAGAGTGGCACATGCAGAGGGCAACAGTTTATGGCAGTGGAAAACAGCAAAAGCAACCAGAGCAAAAGGGAGGAGGAGCAGCAAGCAGCTTCTTTCCCTCCCTTACATTGTATGTAAACTACCTGCCCCAGGGCAGGTGTAGCACTCACATCCATAATTCCAACATTGGACCATGAATCAATCATAAACTCTAAAAGTCCACCCCATGACTGTATGTGGCTTTGGGGGGACACCCAGACACAAAGCATAACAATCCCTGCCTAGTTCTGCCCTTGGGGATTCATCTTCTGTTGAGCTAGTTTAGCAAAGTAGTTTAAGAGAAATCTGCCATTAACAGATTCTTTCATCTTGAATGTATTTCCTTGCATAGAGAGGACTATGATTTGTGTTTTATTTAATATCCAGCTTATTCATCTTATTAATTCATCAAAATGTTCTTTTAAAGCATTAAAAGACAACATTGCTAACACTACATTTGCCAATTAGTGCGTGATCCATACATTAAAGCTTATTTAACAGAATCTCTCTGAATATATTGATGACATACTTATTGACACACGTCTGTGGACTTCATTAAAATAACACTTTAAAGTATCAGATTCTCTAGGCATTTCTAGCACTGCAGACAAGAAGGGCACCTTCAGATCACTTGATTTTGCATCTGATCCCCTCCCTCCTCCTTCTCCTTCTCTTGTTCTTCCTTCCCTGCTCAGCCTTTAGGGCATTTACAACTCTGCAAGATGGCTCTAGTTTTATTAGACTCCAGGGGAACCAGCTGCCTGGCAGCAAACCCCACCCCAAGGCAGAGGGTTGCTGACCTCTGGGCCCATCTGTAGTGACCTTTGCTGCCCAGCAGACTCCCCTTCTCAGAAACCTCAGTTTCTCTGTGTCCAGAGGTCTACAAGGTCAGGACTCCTCTGCCAGGCTGCCACTTTGTGATAACTGGATCCCATGTAGGTCATGGCTTTCCGCCTGTCACCACTTGGGGGCCTGAGATTAAGGCTCTCCTGCCAGTTGCTGGGTGGGGATACAAGGCTGCCCCACGCCACAGGCTGACTGCCCCTTCCATCCCCACAGTCCTTTCCAGTCCCTGTCCCAGGCTACTCACAGCCCTGATTGTACAACCATGTGGAGCCAGCTTACATAAGCACCTTGTTTTTTAAAATCCCAAGTACAGAAACAGAATATTCATAGTTAGTTACAGGCTTCCCCACCTGTCATACCAGAAAAAAGTTACATGAATTGAATTGCACCTTCCCGTTGGTAGTGCCTCCTTTCTGTTTGTATCATGATTCCCTTGTCTGTGACCTCTGTCATCTGCTAGGGTCATCAACCAGAGCACCACAGTGGGCTGGACAGAGAGCTGCCCACATCCCCTCCCAGCACCAGGAATGCTGCCCATTGGGGATCTGCCCAGGCCTTCTGCCTAGCTTCCATAGCTGGTGGTACTGTAGTTCCACTATGAGGTTTTCTCCCTGCCTGTGTATCTATCACTGCATCACGTTTCCTCTTTATACAAAGACACCAGTCATACTGGATCAGAGCTCTTCCCAGTGATTTCAGTTTACTTTGATCACCTCTGTAAGACCCCGTCTCTGAATGAGATCACATTCTGAGCTACGGGGCATCAGGAATTCAACTTGTCCACATTTCGACACAACTCCACCCTAGTGGCCAACAGCAGACTGAGTTTATTCTGGAGATTGCTGTTCCCATCTGTAGCTTCCTGGCTTCCACACTCAAGCCATTCCACTAGGGAAACAGCTACCCCTTTCCCTGCAACCTTTTCCTTTTGGAATATTGCCCCGGACATTTTAGTAAGCACTCTTCTTTTTGGCAATAGTAGAGTGTTCCAGACCCTTACTAATTTTTTTCCCACTCCAAGACAGGGTGAATTCCTGCAGGGAGTCCTGGATCCAGGCTGCCCTGGAGAACACGTGCATGGTTTGGTTGTGGCCAAACTTCACCTGGGATGCACAGTGCACTCAGGTCTGCTGAGGACTGAGGTGCTCTTCTGTGTTGAAGGTGGACCAAACTGAGAAGGACCTGGGTTTGCAGGGAAGCTATCACAACCCCAGGCACAGCTAGCTGTGGAAGTTCAGACTGCCAGGGTCTATCTCTGCAGAGCTCAGGTGGAGGGGCCACAACTTAGACAGCTCTGTGTTAGGCAAGTGGTGAGTGCCCATCGGTGGATCTGGGCTGGGCAGGAGAGGCCAGATGTTGGTTCCCAGCCATGGCAGTGGTCAGCGCAGAACAATAGCACCTAGATGGCCCCAGGGTTTGAAGTGTGGCCTGGGGATGAGTGCCAGGGTGATAGACTTGTTAGGGCTCTTTGTCATATCAGTGACAGAGAAGTCAATTCAAACAGGCTCAGATAATAAACTGATCTACAAAAGGGAGAGACCAGGAAGACACTTTCAGCTCTTGAAGTGTCATTCTCAGGGTTCCTCTCCTAGAGGTGTCACCTCTGCGGCTTCACATGTCCCCACACGTGCCTGCGCCAGCCAATCCTGCAGACCTTTGCTCCTCACCTGACAGTACTTCCTGCATTCCATCATCTCCTGGCTCAGGGCTACACTGGGCTGGGAGGGGAACTGGGCTGGGGGTGAGTTGGGGGATAGTGGAGGATGTCCAGGGTGAGCTGAGGAAGAGGTCGCAGATATAGCTGGTTTGGATGGTTTAATACCCCGCCCCATCCAGAGGTGGAGATGAATAGAGAAGCTGGGCCTGTGGGGCTCTGGGCCCAGCCTAGAGTGACTGCCCTCTTTACTTCCTGGCCTGGGTACTGGGGCAGGCGCGCTGGGGCCACCAGTGGGGGCTTTGGGTGGAGCATGTTACAGAGGCCGCCTCTTCTACCCCAGGTGGAGAGCAACTTCGGTAGACACCACCAGTTTTTCATGCAGGCCCTGACCTACCTGGTTAGCCCCTACAGGAACCTGAAGCTGGCAGCTATGAAGTTCATTGGTAGGCACTGCCCTGGCCACCTTGCCCTCTGCTCCTTGTGGCGTCCTCCTCACTCCCTATACAGGCCAGACAGGGGATGGCCTTACGTCCCTATGAGAGGCCAGACAACCCAATGGACAGCACCCTCTGTGACAGAAGGTGCCAGGCCCACTTGACTTCCAGGGGGCATGCTGCAGGACTACTTTCTGGACCTCTGCTTCTACCTGAAGAAGAGTGACATAATAACCCTCAAGAAGTGTGAGCTGGGCCCGCGGCCCAAAGGGGAGCCTCTTCCCAACACTCCCAGGATCCCTCTGGCTGAGAGTGGGCCCTCCTCTGCCCTCCACACTGGGATCTGGGGACAGGCTGCCTCCCCAGAGGGTGTCCCAGGCTCTGCGGACATGCAGTCAGACTACTGTCTCCACTGCAGATTTTGACGCCCTCCAGGAGGACCCAGATGTCATATGCCGCAGGTTCTACCTGAGCTTCTCGGAAGACATCATGGATCTGTCCCAGTCTGTGGCCTAGAGCAGAGCTCAGCAGCCACTCAGCCTGTCCCTTCCCTGTCCTTGTTGAGTTCTATCTTTATTAAATGCTGACAGAGTGCACCTTGGCCTCCCTGGTTCTTCCTGCCTGCACCTACCTGCGTGCATTCACATGTGCATGTGGCCTGGGCTCTCCCCTCTGCAGACACCAGTGGCTCTGGGTACCCAGGGAGCCCAGGACCTGAGGGTCATCTTCCACAACCCCTCCCCACTCTCCTGTCCTTAGCATGTCCTGGGTGGTCCCACATGCTGACCAGTCTAGGATGCTGGCTTCCCCTCCTGCCCCATCCACTCCCTACTTGCCAGCCCAAGTGGAGCCTTCTCTCTGCACCTCTGAACCATTCCTATCCTACCCCAAGGATTCTGGTGACCTGCCACACCCCCATTCACCTGCTGTGCTTTAGCTGTGAGCCCTTTACATGGCCCTCAGCTCAGGAGATACCCTCTGCCTTCCTTCAATTTGACTGTGTCTCTGCTATATGGATTCCTGGCGTGGACACCTACCCCGCACACCACCACCAGGGTCCACAGTCTCCAGCCCAGCACAAGCTCCTCAGCAGTGTCCCTGGCCCATGCTTCCTATGGTAACATTAGGACCGTGGATGGCTTCCTGGTGTGGCACTGAGGCTTCCCAGCTCATAGTGGCCATGCAGTGATGCAAATCAAATGTTCAGAGGGGTCAGTGCCTTGGATGTGGTTCTTATCCCACAATAGCACCACAACCTGCCCAGGAGAAGTTCAAATGCCTGAAGCAGCTGCCTAGGATACAGATGATGGGCCACATCAGATACCCAGATATCACCTAGGACCTCTACCTCCTAACCACATCCCTCAGCAGCAGATCCATGGACAAGGTGGACTTTAACTCAGCTATGGAGGCATCTGGAGTGGGGGGACAGCTGGAGAAGCTGAGGCTGCCTGCCCAAGGAGCTGAACCTGAAGGTATCTGGCCAGCCTGGCCTTTCCCAGCAGACTGAGGGCAGAAGCCCAAGGCTAGAGCTCTACTTCCCACAGTGGTTACTATTCCATGTCCAGCCAGCTGTCCCCAGTGGAGGACCATGTGACAGGTATGCTGAGGGACAGGGAGCAGGGCAGTGGGGGTTGACACACAGTGTATCTGGCCAGGTCTCATGAGCCAAGGACAGCAGGAATCGGCCTGAATGGATCAAGCTGTGCTGATAGGTTTCCAAGATTTGTGTACAGAGGAAACTGAAGCCATGGTGTGGGAGGAGGGTGTGCGTTGGGGGGAACACCAGATGGGGACAGAATTGTGGGAAATTCCCATCTTCCGTGTCTGGATGGAGGAGAATGTCCCAGTAGAGGATGCTCGGAATTCGCAGAAGGAAGTTGGGGCAGTGAGGCATTACAGGAACAAAGGGCAGAGATGGCCATGAGGATGAGCAGCCAACTGTGTGGGATGCCCCTGAGAGGCTGGGATAGGGGAGGTGGGAAGGAACCTGCATCTCTCCAGAGCACTTGGGGTGTCTGGTGGGAAAGGAAGCTAGGGTGAATTTTAACCTTTGAAGTGAGCAGAGTAGATGCTCCGAAGACCGCTCCCACTAGACTACAGCTATGGAGTCCAGGCTGGCCTCAACCTTGTGACAATCCTCCTACCTCAGCCTCCCAAGTGCTGGGATCACAGGCATGCGCCACCCTGCCCAGCCCATGTTGTTTTTAGAAATGTAACGTTGCAGTGTAATTTCAAGTTTGTTGTGGTAATGCTCCCTGCCTTGTTCTTATTGCTTATCTGGGTCTTTTCTGGTTCTACATAAATCTTAGAATTACTTTTTCTAGTTCAGTGAAAAAAAAAAAACTGACTGTATTTCATTTGAAATAGATTAAATCCATATATGATATTTGGTACAGTGGCCATTTTGACAATATTAGTTCTTCCTATATTGCCCAGTAACCCAAGAACAGAGGATGTCTTTCCAATTTCTAATGTCCTCTTCAATCTCTTTTTTTAGAGCAATATATTTTTATTGTGCAGTTCTTTCACATTCTTGGTTAGTTCCTAGGTACTCTTTTGGTGTATCATGAATGTGATTGTTTCCCTGATTTCTTTCTCATTGGGCTTATTCTTGGTGTATAGGAATGCTGTTTATTTTGTATCCTCCACTTTGCTAAATATGATTATTTGTTCTAAGATCCTTCTGATAGTATTTTTTAGGTCTTCTATGTTAAAATCATGTCATCTGCAAATAACAGTTCGACTTCTTTTCCTATTTGAAACCCTATTATTTCTTTCTCTTGACTGATTGTTCTGGCTAAAGTTTCAATGCACTATATTGAACCAAAATGGGGAGAGCAGCCTCCTTTGTCTTGTTCCTGATTTTAGAGGGAATGCTTTAAGTTTTTCCTCCACATAATGTCAGTAGTGGGTTGTCACAATTGGCTTTTATCAGTTTAAGTTAAGGTCCTTCTATAACCTATTTTCATCAAGGGTTTTATCATGAATGGATATTGTGTTTTGCCAAAGCCTTTTTCCACTTCCTTTGAGATGGCCATGTGACTTTTATCCATTTATGTGATGTAGTATGTTTATTGATTCATGCATGTTGAACCATCCTTGCATCCTTGGGGTGAACATATTTGGTAATGATATATGATCTTTTTACTGATTTATATTCTTTTTGAAAGTATCTTATTGAAGTTTTTTATGTTTATGTTCATTGAGGAAATTAGGCTGTAATTCTTGAAACTCAGCAATCAGAAAACTACTTGATTTTAAATGGGCTTATAATCCTAGTTCTCTGGGAGGCTAAAGCAGGAAGACTGTGAGTTTGATCTTAGCCTGGTTATCTAAGTGACTTAGTGATATCCTGTACTAACACACACACACCCACACAAACAAAAACCCAAAAAGGCTGGGGATGTAGCTCAGTGTGAAGGCCCTGTGTTCAGTCCCCAGTACTGCAAAGAAAAACCTGACCAGACATCTCATCAAAGAAGAGACATAGGTGGCAAATAAGCAGTGGGAAAAGATGTTCCATGTCATATATCATCAAGAAATTGCAAATTAAAATAACTCAGCAAAAGCAGTGTATATGTATATTAGAATGACTTTTAAAAAACACAAAACAAAACCAAAAAGCAACAACCTGGTAACACCAAATCTTGGTGGAACAACAAGAACTCTCACTCATTGCTGCTAACAAAGCAAAGTGGTACAGCCACTTAGTAAGACAGTACAATGGTTTCTCACAAGACTAAATATGGCCTTACCACCTGATCCAACAGTCTGAGGTCTTTATCCAAAGGTATTGAAAACTTACGTCCATACAAAATCCTGTGTGCAGGTGTCTACACCAAGCTTTAGGCACAGTTGCCAAATCTGGAAGCAACTGAGATGCCTTTAATAGGTGAATGGATAAATGCTTTGTGATATATCACTACTGACATGAAAATTACTCATGAAATGAGCTATAAAGCCACAAAAGACAAAGAGAAATCATAAATGCACATCACTAAGTAATGGAAGCTAATATGAAAAGATTGCAGACTGTGGGATTCCCTCTGTATAGCAAAACCATGGAGACAGGGAAAATCAGAAATCCCCAAGGGTGAGGGAAGTGGGAGACGGATGGAACAGGTGACACACAGCAGGTTTTAGGGGTGGGAGAGTACTTTGTAAGGTACTGTGATGGTGGATACAAGTCATTATGCATGTGTTAAAACCCACAGAATATACACCACAATGAGTGGGCCTTCATGTAAACTGTGGACGTTGGTTGCTAATAATGGTTCAGTATTGTCTCGTTAATTATACAAATACACCACACTAATTCCAGATCCTAATAATAGTGGAAACTGTGGGAGTGTATGGAGGTGTATGTGTGTAACTCTATAAAAATAAATTTTGAATGAAAAATAAACAAAATGTAAAAAGAATAGAATTTTTGGAAATGAAAAAATATAGTAACTGAAATTAGAAAAATTCACTGGATGGCCTCAATAGCACCATGGAGAGAAAACAAATTTGAGGACAGGTCAATAGAAATTATATAACCTGAGCAACAGAGTAGGAAAAGATTAACAAAAACGAAATTAAACTTAGGTACCTGCGAATAAAGTGTCTAACACTTGCTGATGTAGAGAAAGAGAGTAGCGCAGGAATGGTGTTGGGAAGTAGATGATCATTGTCCAATTTTTGCAAAGACAAACTTACAGATATGAGCTCAAAACAAGATAAATATAAAGAATTCTGTGCTCAAACTCATCAATATTTTCATTACTCAGCATTCATTCCTTTTCCTGAGACATGATATCTGACAGCTGAAATCTAAAGGAGGAGAAATTTAATTTGACTTACAATTTCGGGAGATTCAGTCCATGGTTGGTTGACTCCAAGACAGGAACACCATGGTGAAAGGACATGGCAAAGTAAAGCTGCTCATTTCATGGCATCTGGGAAACAGAGCAGGGAACAGTGCCCAAAAAGAGTCTAGGGGCCAGAAATAATTGCCAAATTCACACTCCATGACCCACTTAGATACACCCAGCAGTGTGCTTCACTAATTCGCTGCGTGGCTCCCAAGCCAATCAAATTGACAGTTAATCTTAGTGGGCACAGTAATCATGGTGCTGAAAATGAAAGGTAAAGAAAATGATCCTGGAGCAGCCAGATGAACATGTAAGTAGAACAGTGACTTGAAGAATAGCAGGTTTCTTAGTAGAAAACACAAAGGTCAGAAAGCAGGGGAGCTGTCTTAGTTACTTTTCTTGTTACTGAGACAAAATACCCAACACCCAAATTTAAAGGAGGAAAGGTTCATGGGCTCACAGTTTGTAGAGGTTTTAGTCCATAGTTGGCTGGCTCCAAGACAGGTGGCATGGCAGAGGGGCATCAGAGAGGAGAAATAGTCCACTGCAAACAGGAAGGTAGAAGCACAATAGTCTTCTTTCTGTCCCTTACATTTTATGCAGGCTATCCACCCTAGGACAATGCAGCACTCACATCCTTAATTCTAGCCAGAACTATGCCAAGCCAATCAGTGGACTGATTTAGTAATCACACAGCCTTGATCCCAGCACCACACACTCTAGATCCAGCCCCC